AGCGGGATTGGGCCGGATTCAGCGGGATGAAGCGGGACTGAACCGGACTGAGCGGGATTTCGGACCAGGGCAGAAACAGAACTTGACCTCCCAGGAGTTGCATTTGCATCCGAAAGGAGAGGACGACCAGTGGAAGCCCCGAGGGAGCCGGTGCCGCACCAGCCAGCAGCCAGATCCAGGTCCAGCTCGTAGGAGGCGGGCCGGCCGGCGCCCCAGGCCAAGGCGCGCGAGGGGCGCGTGGGCGCCGCGGGTGCGCAGGCCACGGGGGGAAGGGCCGGCAGCTGGTCGCCGCAAGCACTCGGAGGGCCTCGGCAGAGGAGTACGCAGGGGCCCAGGGGAACACAAAGAAATATAGACACAAAGGACAGGATTCCCCCTAATTTCCCACATTTTCTGGGTTTCGTGTTCCCCCCTCTTGTCCGTAATTATTGTCCCATATGTTCTTGGGGATCGACGATTAATTGTGTATGTGTTTTTCCCCCTCCTCAAGAATACCCGAGGAGCCGGCAGCTGATCGCTGCAAATACTTTTAAGGACCTCGGCAGAGGTATACCCCAGGCGATGCCCCGCCGCTCCGGGCAGGCAACGAGGAGGCGGTTGCAGGAAGGCCCCAGGCGAGGAGAGGGAGAGGAGGAGGGGAAGGCAGCTGATCGCTGCAAGCACGGGAAAGAGGAACACCCCAGGAAAAGAGGCAGCTGGAGATGTTTTTTTTGTTCGCGAGCGCACCAAGAGACGCAGGACGCCGTCAAAGGTCGCAGCAAACAGGCTACGAGCGAATTGCGCACCAGGGGCAGGGAGGGAGGCGACGAGAGGACAGCGGGAGGAGGAACTAACAGGAGGCGGGCCTCGCTGCCGCTCAGAAGAAGGTGCCGTCGACTGGGGGGGAGCCGCCAGGCGGAGTGCATCAAGGCAGCCGGGGATTTTTGATCGCGACCGCGGCGAAGAGAGGTCGGGCGGCGTCCAGGATATTGCACACGAGCAACGGCCGAAATTAGCGCAACGGAAAAGCAGCCGGGGATGCGCGAAGCGTCAAGGACTCGGACAGCGAGGGAGAGGGAAGAGGGGAGGGGAGGAAGGAAGGGAGGGCCCAGACCCCCGACGTCAGGATGTGTTCACGATGTCGCCCGACAGAGGCCTCTCGACCCACTCCCCGGGCTTGTCTGTCGTCCCGAACCGTTCCGTCGACGGTCCCGAGGCCGGGCGAAGGCCCCCCCAGAGGCCGCACACGGCCAGAAGCCTTCCGTCGTGGTCTTCGCACGACTCGAGGGGGGTCCGGGAGGAGAGGGCCAGCAGACATTCGGCTGCACGCAGGAGCGACCCTGGGCCGGAGCGACCTCTGGGTGCGCGGGCGGGCTCCCGGGACGCAGGGTGGCCGAGCCCGAGCGCGCGACCAGCCGCCCTCGCACCGCGCTCAGCGGTCGGAGGGGGCCCTGGCCAGCCCGCAGCAAATGGTCACTCCGGCGAGGGGTCACTCTCACGTGTTAGGAGGCAACTACTGGGAGGTTTTCGTCGGAAGGATTGAAGAAGATCAAGCCCCATTGGGGGGCTGTCACGCAAGACTGGGCCTCGGATTCCGCGGGAGCACGCCGGATTCAGCGGGATCACGCCGGATTGAGCGGGATGAAGCCTAAGCCGGATGAAGCCAGCCTTCGGGCCAGGGCAAAATCAGAGTCTGACCTCCCAGGAGTCCGAACACGTGCAGTCGAGGCGTGCTCATCCAAGGGAGGCTCGCGCACTCGGAGGCCGGCCCCAAGTCTGGACGCCCGAAATGGGTACTGAAGCAATGGGTACAATGCCCAACAGCAAATGTTGTCCCAAACCAACAGCGGCCGCTGCTGGGCGGGCGGCCTCCTGTCTCAAATGGACACAGGCCGCGGCGGCGCGGACAGCGAGTCCTGTTCAGAATGAACAGGAACTGCTGTTGGGCATCGCACCCGTTCTTTCCGTACCCATTTCGGGCGTCCAGACCAAGGGGGCATGGGCGACTCACGGCGTGGCCGGGCACGGGCAGCGCGCGGGCGCGCACCAGCCCCGGGGCGTCTTGGGCCCGCCCGCTCTCCGGAGGGCAGGAGGGGAGACCGGGTGCGCCCTGCGGATGGCATGACAGTGGGCACCCTAACAATCCTATATCCTTGAACTAACGATGTTGTTCAAAATGTTCAAACATGTTTTTTATATAAAAAAGTTTAAACACATGTGGTTTGCACGTTTAAGACATGTCTGAAACACGTTTGGGGCATCTGGAAGGCACTTGGCCGCACGCTTCCTCTCTTGGATGCTCGTTCTGGGGACCTTCCTGGAGCCACTCGCTCCACTCGCGCGTCGAAGCTGCGTCGAACGTCAGTCGATGTGGGTCGACCCTGAGTCGAACCTGAGTCGAACCTGAGTCGAACCTGAGTCGAACTTGAGTCGAACCTGGGTCGAATCTGAGTCGAATCTGTGTCGAACCTGTGTCGAACTTGAGTCGAACTGGGGTCGAACAGATCCGTTAATTAGGTGGGCTCCAGGAGGGTCCCCGAAACGAGCATCGAAGAAACACGTTCGGGACCTCTGGAAGGTATCTGGCCGCACGCTTCCCCTCCATGGCCCGGCCTCCACCGGGTGCGCCGCAGAGAGGGGGGCCGGGAAGAGGGCAGGCGAGCCCAGGAGGGCGTCGAGGAGTCGGGTCGGCGGCCGCGGCGAGAAAGACCGGTGGGGGTCGGCAGCCCAGGTCGGGAGGAGTCGAAGCGGCGGAGATCGGCAGGCTGGCAGGGCCTCCATCGGGGGGCCGAAGTGCAGAGCGGAGTCCGAAGTCGGCTCGGCATCGGAACCGAAATCGGAGTCGAAACGAATCGAGTCGGAGGAATCGAAATGAGCCCCCCAGAGGGGGTTCAGCGCATCGTGACCCGAGGCATGCGCGCGGGCAGGAGGGGTCAGGGAGCGCAGTGAGAGAAGGAGAGAGGGCGATGAAATCTAGGAGATCTCAGGGCCCAACCGCGATGTCCATACGCCCTAATCCGCACGCCCATCATGGACGCCGCCAACGAGACAGAAGATCTGGATGCCCGAAATGGGTGCGGAAAAAAGGGGTACCATGCCCAACAACAACCGTTGTCCAGAACCGACAGTGGCCGCTGTCGGGCAGGCGGCTTCTCGCCTTCAGAGGACCACGTCCGCGGCGGCGCGGACGGCGAGGCCTGCTCGAGAGGAGCTGGAGCTGCCGTTGGGCACCGTGACCCTTCTTTAGAGGCCTCCTAGATGGGGTCCGAGTAGACGGGGTCGGAGGATCCCGCCGCATCGCCAATGCATCGCCGATGCATCGACGATGCATCGGCGATGCATCGGCGACGCCGGCGGTGCACTGGCGAAGCCGGCGCGGAGAAGATCGGGCTCCGCATGGAGCCGCATCGCCGATGCACCGGCGACGCGGCGCAGCCCTCCGACCCCATCTACCTGGACCCCACTTGGGAGGCTTCGATTCTTGCCGCACCCACCTACTCCTCCTCCTCCTCCTCCTCCTCCTCCTCCTCCTCCTCCTCCTCATCGTCGTCGTCGTCGTCGTCGTCCTCCTCTCCTCCTCCTCCTCCTCCTCCTCCTCCTCCCTCCTCCTCCTCCTCCTCCTCCTCTCCTCTCCTCCTCCTCCTCCTCCTCCTCCTCCTCCTCCTCCTCTCCTCGGCGGCCCCGAGGAGAGGAGCGGTGAGGACGCGCGCCGCCCGCAGGGGCGGCCCCGGCCCGAGGCGGCCCTGCGGCCCCGCCGGGCAGGCCCGCGCAGCCGGCGCGCGGCCGGGCCCCTCGCGGGGCCCAGAGCCAGGTCGGGCGCGCCCCCCCGCAGGCGGAGGCGGGGCGAAGAATCGAAGACGAAAAACGATCAGTGCGGGGCGGATGCAGATCAAGACGAAGACGAAGAAACGCAGTCGAAGACGAAGACGAAGATCGAAGAATCGAAGACGAAGAATCTATGCGGGGCGGATGCAGATCAAGACGAAAAACGCAGTGTGCACATGGTGCGGGGGTGAAAAACCGAGAAGGGGGGGGGGGGGAAACCCAGAAATGCGGGGGGGGGGGGGGGAAACCCAGAAGCAGGGGCTTTTTTTCACCCCCGCTTTTTGTTCACCCCCCGCGGTTGTTTCACCCCCGGGGTTTTGTTCACCCCCGCACCCAGAACCAGGTCGGGCACGCCCCCCTGCAGGCGGATGTTGGGCGAAAAATTAAAGATTCAGATGCTAAAACTAGGGAAACGAACTCTATACACCGACGTTATTCCCCGACCCTGCGCTGAAACTCGCACAGGAACGCGGATCCTGGTGTATACGGGATCCTGGTGTACACATGTTTCGTTGCTTCTCTTGGAAAACGGGGGAAAAGTATACACCACACCACCCCGACGTCGTCCCCGACCCTCAAAAAGTCTTGGGATTGAAAAAACAACCCGCCACTGGTGATGTAGATGTTCCAGTTTCCGAAAAACAGTGTGTGTGTGTATATATATATATATATATGTATATAGGTGTGTGTTAAACCAAACAGAGTTCAGAGCAGTCAAACAAAAAATCGTCCCCTAACAGTTGTTTGACTGTTGTTGGATACTCCTCCTGTGGAGGGACGTGGCCGACTTGAGCCTAGGAGCCCCGAGGGCTCGAGCAAGGCGGGAGAAGCCTGGGGGGCACCTTGGGCCAGGTCCACCTCTGGCAACCTCCGATCTTTAATTGTTCAGCGAATCGCACGAGTCTTCGGGTGACTCCCTGAGGCTCTCGACGGAGAACTAAGTGTCGCCTTTCTCAGCGGTGCGACAAGCGACGAGTTGTTGCGTTCCGCCTCAACGAGCACGGCCTCGCGAAAGCTGTCCAGCACTTGCAGCACACCGTCTGAAGTTCCTCCTCCCCGTCCTCTCATTGCCTTCCCAACTATCTGGCGATGAGGGCAAGAACGACAACGACGACGATGCGGATGAGGACGAAGAAGAGGACGACGGCGACGGTGGAGACGGCGACGACGGCGGCGACAGCGGCAGTGGGGCCGGCCTCGGACTTGCCGGTGACGGTCAGCAGCGGCGTGTCGCTACACACCGCCCCTTCCGGGCCGACCGCCTCGCACTGGCCCGCGCACGAGACTACCATCGAGTCGCGGGCGCCTGCGGCGCCGCCACGGCGACGAAGAGGGACGACCACGGTGGCGCACACGAGACGACGGCGACGGTAACGGCGGCAATGACGGCGGCAACGGCGCTGAGGAACGACGACGACAAAGAGGAACACAGGGACGGCTACGAGGACGACGACGGCGACGGCGATGGCAACGAGGACGAGGACGAGGACGACGAGGACGAGGAGGACCAGAACGACGACGACGACGACGACGACGACGACGACGACGACGACGACGACGACGACAACGACGGCGGCGACGGCGGCGGCGGCGGCGATGAGCACTAGGAGCAGGACTGCTGCAGAAATTCGCCCCGTAGAGCGGGCACGCGCGGGGCTGGGAGGATGCCCCGGGGCGCCGCTGCCGGGGGGGGGGCAGGAATAGCAAGCCCGCTGAACGGAGGTGGACCGGAGCGTTTCCGCTTCCAACCCCCCCCCTCTTCCCCGTCGAGAGGGGGGGGGGGAAATGTCTCTGCTCCGAGTGTGTGAACACCCCCTGCCTGACCCGAGCGGCGGCACACCAGGAGCCAGACCACCCCTCCCCCACCATCCCTGTCAAAAAACACACCTCGCCATCGCTCGGACGTCCACTCCCTGTGTTTTTTTCGGTTTCGTGCGTGGTTCTTCGCCAAATGATCAAGGATGCTCCTCGATGGCCCTCGCCGACGGAAAAATGCACACGTCCGAGCGATGCCAAGACACACACACACACACACAAAGCGACGCTGCGGCAGAATCTTGGACCATGCGCGGGCGGGCGCCCCGCGATCGCTCTACACGGCTCTCGCGGCATAGCCTGCGCGCTGGTGGCCACCCCGACACCACGTTGTACAGGCGGACTCGATTGGACAGGACACGCGAGGGGACACAAGACCCTTCCGAGGGCCACATTGCCACAGAATTGGAAGAGGCATGGGTCGCGGGACACAGGACACAAAGGCACCCTTGATTTGGCAGGGATGACCTACTTATGCGGGCCGACTGTATCGGTCTGTGACGGGGATGGTGGGGGGTCGAGATATGTCCCGGTGTGTGCTGTCACGTGCATGTGGCACATTTGGCGCACGTCGCGCGCGCGTTGTGCGCGTGGCGCACCTCGCCAGCGTCGCACCCATGGCGTCTGTATGGTTCCCAATGGCTGTCCATCCAATGGCGACCGCTGCATATGCTGACACCTGGGTGCTACTTACGTGTTGGGAGGGCGGGTGGGAGCGAGCGAGACGGCGTGCGGCTTGTGGGTAGCTTGCCCCTCCCCCCTGGGTTCGGACGGGGGGAGGCGGCGAGGTGTCAGAGAGTCTGTTTAACTAAAGATGGCTCAATGGGGGCCTCAAAGAGCTCCGAGATGACCTCCGGGATGACTTAAGGCACAAAAGATGGCCCTACTGTGGCCTCCGAAATGCCCCCCAAGGTGCTCCACGGCTGCTCCAAGACGGCCTCGAGGGGCAGCCTCCCGAACATCGAGGGAGGACGGAGGGAGGGTGAGGGGGATTGGACAAGACAAGACAAGACACACTTACGATCCACTGAACTGCTACACATGGCAAGCAAACAAAAAAAAAGAGCGCCGGGAAGTTGCAGTTGACCTATTCTGGATCTGTGTACGCTTCTGTGAGCGTCTGTCTAGATCGCTCTGCTGGGGGGCACCATTGGCTCGATCCGGGGAGGACGGGAGAGGGACCATAATAAGTCAAAGGTGTATAGATCAACGGCGCTGCAAAACACACTCCTTCATAAGTCAAGTTCGGTGCAGACATCCTCACGAGGTGTCCCAGAGTGTCGCTGATCGTCTGGTGGCCCAAGAGGGGCCGAGTGGCTGTCTATGCAGTTCACAATCCGTACAGTGCAGCCTCAAGCAATGACACCCAGTCTACATAGGGGCTGTGGTCACATTTCGCAGCCCACCGCTATCATAACCCGCCAAGCTTCGCTTACATCCAGATAATCGAGAAGCGAATCGATAAGGGGAAATCGGCAGCCAGAACTGGAGAAGCCGAATCGGCGGAGATCGGCAACTGGTAAGGCCTCCATTGGGAGATCGGGGCCCCGACTGGAATCTGAAGTCGACTCGAATCGGAATCGGAATCGACCGACGTCGAGCCGAATCGAAGCGGAGGAGCCGAAATAAGGCGCCGCTACGTGGCCCGCCGTCGTCCACGCAGCCCGCGTGAGGCCACGAGAGCCTCCGCACGCGTCCTGCAATGCCAGCCGTCGGAGCGGCGGAGGCCCCGTGCAGGCATCGCTCGTCGCTGCGCGAGGCGCCCCGGTGTGGAAAAAAGGAGCGCCAAAGGCGCCCACAGCTCCAGGTGGCGGCCCCCTTTTGGAAAGGAGTCCGCCGACCCCTTGGGCCCTCGGGGCCACGGCGAGCGAGATGCTGCCCCCTCCCCGAACCCCTCCCCCGGGAACCTGGTCCGGCCGGCTTGGGGGGGGGGGATGGGGGACGAGTGCCGGCCGCACCCTTGAAGCCTCAGGGGGGCCCAGAACGGGCCAAGAGGGCCCCAAAAGGCCCCCCGGACGGTCCAAGAGGGCTACGAGTCGCCGAAAGATTGCTCCAAGACACCCAAGATTGCCTACAGACGGCCCCAGAGGCCCCCAAGACGCCCCAAGAAGCCATCAAGAGGCGTCCCAAGAGGCCTTCCAGAAGCAAAAATCGTCCCATTTCCCTGGGAGAATGTATATTTTTAGCACATTCGCCTCTTGGGCTTTCACGAGGCCCGCAACGGCCCAAGAAGGCTTCAAGATCGACCCAAGATAACCCAAGAGGGCTCCAAGACGGCCCATAAGGGCCCCAAGACGGCCCCAGAAGCCTCCAAGACGGCCCAGGAGGGCCCCAGGACGGCCCCAAGAGGAGGCCCAGAGGAGGAACCCGAATGGACATTTCGAGCACTCGGCCCCGAAAAAACCTGAGAAGGCGCCAAAAGGCCCCCAAGAGGCTCTCGTGCACGAGGCCCCCGAGAGGCCCGAACGAGGCCTCAACACGGCCTCAACACGGCTCCCGAGTGCTGCCAGGAGAGCCTAGAGAAGCCCAAGAGCAGAGCCACGATCCGCCAACCGCCCCCGACGAAATTCCGAGAAGCTGAAACTCCCAGATTCCCCAGAAATCGCGCGCGTTCCGCAAACTCCGTTTTTCACTCATACTGTCGCCCCAAGGAGTCGGCGGTGTGGCGTCAGCCAATGAATCACCCTCTTGTGAGGTAGGGACTGTCCATATCCACCTTCTCCTCCTCCTCATCTTCCTCCTCCTCTTCCTCCTCCTCAATTCCTTGTCCTTATATACCATTTCTCCGTGTAGCACCCCGAGGCCAGTTTTTAGGGCGGGCTGGGCATTTCGCCTGAGACTTCCTCACCATTTACGGCCCTGAAGCTTAAACATGGACAACAGATTCACAGATGGAGGGCGGGTCGTTTTCTAAATGTGGCTCTCGCTTTAGCGCCGCGCATATTCGCTTGACACCAGTTACAAGAGCATCACGGAGTTAGAGCGAACTGTTTAAAAAATGGGGCTCTCGCTTTAGCGCCGCGCACACTAGGTTGTTTTAGTATGTGCCTGAGCTTCATGGATTGAGGGCGTTTCCTTTTCAAAATGTTGCTCTCGCCTTGGCGCCGCGCACTTTCGTTCTGTATGCGCAAGAGCTTCACGGATTGAGGACGGCTCATTTTCGAAATGTGGTTCTTGCCTCAGCGCCGCGCACCATCGTTTTTTACCATTTGCAAAAATTTCACGGATTCCCATGATCAGCGTACCAGAAACTGCGTGTTGGAAGGATTCGGGATTATGAGGGCGCAACGGTTACGTTGACTCGCAGAGCTGACGTTCCAGGAATGGCGTTCTGGCACGGTTCATGATCTTCAAGGCGCAACAGTCAGGTTCATCCGTGGCGTACGATACCCGAGAACAATGTTTTGGCATACTTCAGGGTCTTCCAACGGTTGTCTTCCAACGAGGCAGCTCCCTCAGTGGAAATGCACCCTTGTAGTGGCCTATGAGGGGGGAGCTTGGAGGGAGGGCTTCTTACAACATCGTTGATGACTCTTGGGGTTACACTGGTCCTCCTCCTCCTCCTGCTCCTCTCCCTCGTCTGAATCCTCCTCCTCCTCCTCCTCCTCCTCTTCCCTCCTCCATCCTACTACTGCTTCTCCTCCTGCTCCTCCTCCTCCTCCTCCTCATCATCATCATCATCATCATCAGCATCAGCATCATCCTCCTGCTCCGCCTCCTCCTCCTCCTCCTCCTCCTCCCCATCCTTCTCCCCCCATCCTCCTCCTCCTCCTCCTTCTCCTCCTCCTGCTCCTCCTCCTCCTCCTCCTTCCTCCCTCCTCCGCCTCCTTTCCTCCTCCTGCTCCTCCTCCTCCTCCTGCTCCGCCCTCCTCCTCCTCCGCCCTCCTCCTCCTCCTCCTCCTCCTCCCTCCTCCTCCTCCTCCTCCTCCTCCTCCTCCTCCTCTTCCTCCTCCTCCTCCTCGTCCTCCTCCTCCTCCTCATCCTCCTCCCCCTATTCGTAATATCCTTAAGATTGGCATTCTGAATATGAGTATGAGTTGTTGTATTACGGGTATGATGTGTATTCGCAGTCTTTTTGTTAGTAATAGATTGCGGTTAGTAGTATGATGTTTCTTAGTGTTACCCTTAGTACGCATATTAGTGTTACTATCTGTATGAGTAGCAGTAGTAATAGTACGCGTCTTCATCGTCTTCGCCGTTTTATCATTATGTTACTCTTACTCTTAGCGTGAACAATACTAATATGTGTCGTCTTAGTCTGCTTCGAATTTGTCGGATTCGTAATAAGAATCGTCGTCTTAGTATGCGCATCAGTTGTACTTATAGTATGCGTCTTCTTCGTGCTCTGACTATCATGGTGATTATTCTTCGTCGTAGTAGT